ACTGATCAGCATAAATCTTGAAAGGTTAGGTTTAGTGGTATACCCAGCCACAATCATATCTATGAGAACATTTTTACCTTCATAACGTTTTCTAAGCTAATCAGAAATATGCATACATTATGTCCAATATCTATAATACTTTGTAAAAGCTAAAGATTTATTTTATTGGATGCCAAGCAGTATAATGCATGCCTTATAATGTTATCTGTTCCTCTGCCATGTAGGGTAAAGTTCATTCCACGAAGCAGCTGGCAGTCCAATGGTCAGCAGCCACAAAGAGGAAGTGACACATGGGAATAAAAACATATTCAAAGTCATTGATAAAACTTTTTTTCCAAAACGACAGTCGTCATGCGTTTGAATTGATATTTTATTCTTTTACATTAACTAAAGTTGATGATTTGGAACATATTTCTGATGCTGAGGTATCCTGAATAGGTATAAGAGAATATTTTGTGACATTAAACAAAATTCATATTGCAATAAAAAAATTTAATGACTGCTCACCCGAAATCCCTGCAAAAAACTCACATCCAAGACATATATATTAATTTATTTATTTATTATTGCCATTTATTTAGCGCCAACATATTCCATAGCACTTTACAATATTACAAAAACAAGTCCTGCACTCAAACTCCCAGTACTCTTGGGTGGCAGCAACGACCATCAGCCCCAATACATATAGTAAAAACCGAAGAAAAAAAGTTTAGCATATTTAAACAAATGGAGGTTATTTAGTAACTCCAATGGCCATTAAAGGGGTGCCTACCTGTCACATCAAGGCAAACCTCTTAGGTGGGTCCTACACTGACAATTCACCTTGCTTCCTTGAGCTTCAGGCAAAGATATCTGTAATGGAACAGAGAGGGGTATTTTTCTTATCCCCTACATACTTATTAACCCTTAATAGGCAACACATGGGATGGGTGGCAGCACTGTAACATAGCTGTGTGATACAAAAGTGAATACAAATATACAAAAACAAGTCATGCACTCAAACTCCCATTACTCTTGGGCGGCAGCAACGACCATAGTACACATCAGCCCCAATATTTAAACATATGGAGGTTTAGAAACTCAAATGGCTTCCTTGAATTCACCTTGCTTCCTTGAGCTTCAGGGAAAAATATATCTAATGGAACATAGTTACATAGTTACATAGTTACATAGCTGAAAAGAGACTTGCGTCCATCAAGTTCAGCCTTCCTCAGAAATGTTGTTGCTGTTGATCCAAAAGAAGGCAAAAAACCTGGTCTGAGGCACTTCCAATTTTGCCACAAACTAGGAAAAATTCCTTCTTGACCCCAAAATAGCAGTCAGATGTCTCCTTGGATCAATCAGCTATTACCCCACTAATTAGAAATTATATCCCTGTATGTTATGTTTTTGTAAGTATTTATCCAATTTCAGTTTAAACATCTGTATGGACTCTGACAAAACCACCTCTTCAGGCAGAGAATTCCATATCCTTATTGTTCTTACTGTAAAAAAAACCTTTCTTTGCCTTAGATGAAATCTCCTTTCTTCCAGCCTAAATGTGTGACCTCGTGTCCTATGTATAACCCTGTTTATGAATAGATTTCCAGATAAAGGTTTGTACTGGCCCCGAATATATTTGTATAAAGTTATCATATCCCCTCTCAGGCGCCGTTTTTCCAAACTAAACAGATTTCATTTTTTTTTAACCTTTCTTCATAACTAAAATGCTCCATTCCTTTTATCAAATTTGTAGCTCGTCTCTGGACCCTCTCTCCAGTGCCATGATATCCTTCTTTAGAACAGGCGCCCAAAATTGCACAGCATATTCAAGGTGTGGTCTTACCAGCGATTTATAAAGAGGCAAAATTATATTTTCATCCCGAGAATTTATGCCCCTATTAATACATGACAAAATCTTACTGGCCTTAGCAACTGCAGATTGACATTGCATATTGCTGCCTAATTTGTTGTCTATAACAATGCCCAAATCCTTCTCGTGTGGTTATCCCTAATTCACTACCATTTAGTGTGTAAGTTGCTTGTGCATTCTTAACCCCGAAGTGCATAACTTTGCATTTTTCTATGTTAAATTTCATCTGCCATTTTAGTGCCCAGTCCCCCAATCTATCCAAATCTTTCTGCAACAAAGCAATATCCTGCTCACATTTTATTACTTTACAAAGTTTTGTGTCATCTGCAAACACTGATACATGGCTTTCAATGCCTATTTCAAGATCATTTATAAATATGTTAAATAGAAGTGGTCCCAAAACAGAACCCTGAGGGACACCACTTACCACTTTTGTCCAGCCTGAAAATTTACTATTAATGACAACTCGTTGTACTCTGTCCTTAAGCCAATGTTCTACCCAAGAACAGGAATATTCATCTAGACCAATTTCTTTTAGTTTGAAGACTAACCTATTGTGAGGAACCGTATCAAATGCCCTGGCAAAGTCCAAGTAGATCACATCCACTGCAACACCCAAATCTATACTTCTACTTACTTCTTCGTAGAATGCAATTAGGTTAGTTTGACATGACCTATGTTTCATAAAACCATGCTGATTATTGCTAATAACAAAGTTCTTCCCAATGAATTCCTGAATATTATCCCTTAATAGCCCTTCAAATATTTTCCCAGTTACTGAAGTTAAGCTCACAGGTCTATAATTTACAGGCAAGGATTTTGAACCCTTTTTAAATATAGGAACAACATCTGCCTTCCTCCAATCCTCCGGTACAACACCTGAAACAAAAGAATCTTGAAAAATTAAATACAGAGGTTCACTTATTTCCCCACTTAGCTCCTTAAGTACTCGTGGGTGAATACAGTCAGGCCCCGGAGCTTTTATTACATTAATTTTCTTTAATAGCTGTAGCACCTTGTCTCGAGTTATCCAGTCACAAGTTATTTGCAAGTTTTTTGCAGCAAACATTTGCATATCTCTTGCCATAGGATCCTCATTAATATATACTGAAGAAAAATTGTTATTTAAAATTTCTGCTTTTTCCAGAGAGGGGTATATTTATAAACCCCTAAATACTTATTAAGCCTTAATAGGGAATACATGGAATACTGTAAAAAATGTTAAAGGTTTTCTTTAATTAATCCACACTCCTTAATTAAACCATACCCCTTAATTAATCCATACCCCTTAATTAATCCACACACCCTTAATTAATCCACCCCCCTTAATTAATCCACCCCCTTAATTAATCCATTCCCCCATAATTAATCCACACTAATTAATCCACCCCCCATAATTAATCCATCCCCCCTTAATTAATACACCCCACTTAATTAATCCATTCCCCCATAATTAATCCACACTACCAACTCCACCTCTATACTAATTCACCCCCCATAATATACACCCCCATAATACACCCCTCCTTTCTCACCCCTCCCTCCTTCTCTCCCTCCTTTTCTCCCCCTCCTTTCTCTTCTCATCCCCCCTCCCCCCTACCTTTGCTGTAGCGTGGCCGAGCCCTGTATAGTCGGCGGGTACAGGGAGCATCTGTCTGTGTGCACTTCCTGTTAGTCCGGCCGGGTACAGGAGACAGATGCTCCCTGTACCCGCCGACTATACAGGGCTCGGCCACGCTACTACAGAGGGAGTGACAGGAGGGAGCGCTGAGCGCTTCCCTCCTGTCAGCCCCTCTCCTCAGGCTGCGCCCGGGCGGTGCGGTCCGCCCTCATGGACGCACCGCCCGGGCAAAGCTGCAGCCGCCCGAGGCTCTCTGCAGAGCGCTCGGGCGGCTGCAGCATGGGGGGGCCGGCGGGGCTGGTCATGGCACCCCCCATGCTGGTGGCACCCGGGGCGGACCGCCCCCTCCGCCCCCCCCCTTAGTACGCCACTGCAAATATACAAAAACAAGACACACTGTTTTATGGTATTGAATTTATTTAGAGTTGTACAGGATGCATATTGTACCGTTCAAAGTTCATGCATATTGTAAATTTAACTTCAATTCAGAGATTGACATGCATAATGCAAATTCTGATAGTGTGTATGCTCGTACAATATTGTATACACCTTATTGTTTATATATTGGTACAACCTGTCTGTGAATTGAACAAAAAAAAAAATTACAAAAATAAATTAAAAATAAGATTCTAAGAATAATATGACACATCCAACTCAAATGTTTTGAAATTACAAAAAACAGGTTCTGCGCTCAAACTCCCACTACTCTTGGGCGGCACAATGACCATTGTACACATTAGCCCCGATACATACAGTAAAAACCGAAGAAAAAAGTTACCTGCACTCTTCCCAAATCCCAATGCATATTTAAACAAATGGAGATATCTTTCCCTGACACTCAATGAAGCAAGGTGAATAGTCAGTGTAGGACCCACCTAAGAGGTCTGCCTTGATGTGGCAGGTGGGCACCCCTCTAATGGCCATTGTAGCAACTAAATAACCTCAATTTTTTAAAAATATGCATAGGGATTTGGGAAGAGCGCAGGTAACTTTTTTTCTTTGGTTTTCACATCCAAGACATAAAAAGGCAAATATAATGTGAATTTACCCTGGTAGAATGTTGCATTTTCTCAATGTAAGTCCAAGAGTAGTATATACATTCTAACAGTAGAATGTTGCGCTTTTATAATGTAAGTCTATGAGTAGAATGTACATTCTCTAAGTAAATGTTGTGACTAACAAGCCTCAATGGTGTTGACATATCGCAATTTCTGTCATTGCAAAAATAAAGAATTAAAAACAATGTTTTGCTTAATTGACTTTGGGCTTTCTCAATGTAAGCCTGTGAATAGAATATACATAATCTATGTGATGGCTTGTGCTTAACCAATAAATACAAACTAATACGATTTTCCTGGTAGAATATTGGACATCACCGAATCAACTCCAATGTGGAGTACTTTTGCTTGTAGTTAACTCACTACCAGAGCCATTCACTATACACTGAATTTTAGTGAATTAAACCCAAATGACATAATTTAGAACAAAATAGTTAAACTGTGACGATACAAAATCTAAAAGTTACCTGCTCGCAATCACAAATCCCTTTGTACATTTAAATAAACATTTTGGCACCACTGCAATAGCCATTAAAGTTTTTGTTCATCTGCCACATCACGACAGACATCTTAGTTGTGTCCTACACTACCTATTCATCTTGCTGCTTTCAGCTAAAAGGCAACCTCTAATGAGACAGAAGCTACTACAGTAGTTTAGTTGGAGAATTTGCCAAATCAATTATTGTAGCCTGACTCTTGTCATTTGGATTTAATTTGCTAAAATTTGGTGTTTAGAGAAACCTCATACAAGCAGCGATTTTCATTGAAAAGTAATGGGATAGTGTGAGATACTAGTAGTCAAAAACAGGTCATAAAGAGACACTCTAAGCATCAAAACCAGTTCATCTTAATGTAGTGATTTGGTACATATATACTGTCCCTATTCTTGGACATGTAAAATACTGTAAAACACAGCATGATGCAGCAGTAGATAGGTGGATCTCTTTGATTGCCGCACATGCAACGTAGGTGTTCATATTTATTTTTACATTTGGTGTGTTCCATTACCAAATGGATTGATGAGTCTTAAACAAATAGACCCTTACTCTATTAAATACAAGCAATTATGTTGTTTTAATACATTTTTAAATACTTCAACTACTTTTTCTTTCTCCTTTTTATGCTATTTAGTGCCAATTTGTTCCGCAGCACTTTAAAACATTATAATGGGGGAAATGTAACAGCAAGTGAGAAAAACTATTAGAAATTTTGACAGGAACAAGAGATTAATTATGAACCTGCTCATATGAGCTTACAAACTAGAGAATGAATTTGTCATGAGGGCTGGAGTCCTCGGGACCCCTCTAACCTTCTGCTGTTAAACCATTTTAGAATTAAAAAATTGCATAACTGGTTGCCCACCATGTCCCCTCAAAGGTTGTGGCAAAAGGGAAGCATTGGCTGGGCATTCAATGATTGCGTAAGGGAGTCAGCTGATGCTCTCAGTCTATCACTGGCTGTCCATTGCAAGTAACAGAACATAACATTAATAACTGCACACCTACCAACAATTGGGAGGGGAAAACTGAGACGAGTTGAGCAGGGCCATGAGGGGGTGTCACCAGTGATGTGACCAATGTCACTAGTGATGCTCATAATAGGCGTGCCAGCCAGGGAAAGGTCACCCACTGACGGGCTTCTTGTCCGGCCCCAGCCTTCAGGACTAAGCAGAAAGTGTTGCCAAAGTGCAAGTGCTAATCTAATTATATGCTCGTGTTGTGCTGCGCGGTGATACTTCCCAGGCGTCACCAGATTGGGACACCAGGGAACTGAAGCGAGACAGTGGGACAGAACTTTGAGCCTGACGTTTGTCAGGAAATTGACATTTGACAGCCTAATATTGAGATGAAGTTGTGGTGTCTGGGTGGCGTCTGGAGTGTTCCTCTAATTACATTTCAATATAGGGATATACCTGGAAAGCACTTTTAGATATGTCGTCTGATTTGCACTGTGAATTTTTTTTAAATTACTTTATCTTAAAGGGATTCCACACAAAGGGAAGACATGGAAATATTATATAAATCGGTATTCTATTTGAGTTTATCCTTATTATTTTTTAATTTCACATGTCACAATTTGAAATTGGATCATGACATAAATGGTGTATTTATTTGGTTAAGTGAATCACTGTAACCACTCCAACATTTACTCAGTAAATTCAGAGTCGGAGTGAATGGAAAATTGGACTGCAAAATTTAGGCTAAAATATAGCTGTGACTATAAATAATTTGTAGAATTTTCCCAATATTCTGCTTACCATTGACAACCATTTGCTGTTTAGGAAACAGTGCTCACCAGGGCTAAATTTTCACTCACCATTGGGAAGTGGCGAGTGAAATTTTGAGGCCTCTTAAGGAAAAGATTCTTCACTTGCTGTAAGGGAGCCAATAACCCAGAAACAGATACTAAAAATTAAAACTAAACTAAAAGAGAGACTTTCTTTTCACAAAACTGAGACAAGCTACTGTGATGCTCTCTCCTGTTAATCAAAATACAAGACTATCAAGGTAACGTTCTTAATTTTGTTGCCAAAAAAAATAAGCATCTTAAAAAAAACACAAAAAAGCTTTACTCTGCTTTCAGCAAAGAAATAGGAGAAGGAAGTGATGGAACTTATCTTACAGCTAGATGTGTTTGATTGTCTATAAATATACTTTACGTACTAAATTGAAGGCAATATAATTTTTTTTTTTTAAGATTTAGTAAATTCTACAGCAACAAGAAATGTTTTGCAAAGTTTAGGAACACCTAGATATGACTATTTGTGAATTTCATGCCTTCCCTAACTTTCCACTGGTTTTCCACATCTTTTCTCAAAATATAACATCTTGTGCCTGTGGCTAGTATAAAAAATTGCTGCCCTGGAGCCCATCAGCATGTAAAAACAGATAATTGTCCAAGAAACATAGTGGACCTGGCAACCTTACTTGTACATTGGGTTTTAACTTTCCTGGAACAAAAATCACTCTCACAGGATTGGTATCTAAAATTTCTCCTGGTTTGCCAGTAAAATAATTGCTAGCTGGCATGCCTGTGGTAAAGATGCCTAATCCTTTATCACAGCAGCTGTTGCAGGCCACCCGGCTGGCTTCACTTCTTGGCAAATAACTTCACAACTGCCAAAGTGTCAGAGTTTTGCCGCAATGCTATATAACTCTCTTGGGTTTTTCAATGCAGAGTGAACAAAATTCATATTGGTTTACTTATTATACACAGTAAATTGTACCAAGTTGAAAAACAATTTGAAAACCTCATATAAAAATAGTTACACTGGATTTAAAGGGACACACCAGACCCCTACAGAACTTTAGCTTACTGAAAAGCTTTATGTGTGAAGAGTGTGTTTATCCTGGTTACACCCGACTGACTTGTAAGAAGACAACAGAAATGCTACTTGCTGATTTGTTTAGTTCAGTGGAGCTAAACTCAAAATTCAACAATTGCTCAGACTACCTGCCTTGGAAAGACTTCACATTGAGCTGTATTGGAAACTATGTAGTTGGAGAGCTACACAAAGTCTGGACTGGGAAAAAGGGGAGGACTTGCAAAAGCAGCAAAAACAAGATCTGTAGTTTTTGCAAACTGTTTTTAGATATACACCAAATGAAAGAATGCATAATTAAATGAATGCAAGTTTTTTATTTGGGTAGATGTACTAAATAGTGATTTTTATTTATGTTGTATTTGGGCAGTGGAGTGTCCCTTTAAGCTATAGCCAGACCTTGGATACATTTTGCGAGTTATTCACTAAAGTACGAATTGTAGCGAATCAAACCCAAATTACAAAACTAAATTAGCCGAACTGTAATTATAGTTGGATAATTTCTCCACATCAGCTATTTAGCCTTAATTTTGCAATTTGGACTAAATTTGTCATAACCTATAATTTAGTGAATAACCCTATAGGCCCTTAATTCACTAGGTTTGTACCCTAGTGAATACAACCCACCTGTATCTTAAACAGGATTTTCCAGATCCACCAAGTTTTCTTGCCAGATATCGTCACATCTTCATAGGTCAAAGGTGCTGCCCTGCATTTTATAAAATTCCTATGCTGAAGAAGGGAAATGAATCAAGGAACAATCACAAATGAACTGTCTTGGTTAAAGAAGCATGTCCCCTTTGTACTATTTTATTAAACAAAGGCGTTGCTTCCAAGAGAAATATGTATTTTTAAAAAACTTTCTAAGTATCAACCAGACTCCCACGAGTGTTGTTGTCCTTACTCCCTTTAAGTGAATGCTTGCTCAAAACACAAGTGGGGACTTCTTATAGAAAAGTGTTGATTTTAAATCTTCTCTATAAGACGTACTGCTGCAATATTGCTGTCACATGGCATCCCAGCACCATGATAATAATGATCTCCTGTTAGCACAGGGGAACGCCGCAAGAAAATTGTTTCTGTGCTGCATTAGAGCCACGTAACTTATTTTTGGTGGAACCAAAATATAAAACAGGAATATTTCAAGGTTAGAAAGAAATTCATTTTTTTAAGCCGGAGTGTTCCTAGTATAATGGATCATCTTCTTCAGCATCTAACGCAGGACTGTGCAACCTCCCGCACTCCAGATGTTGTGGACTACAGCGCCCCTGATTTTACTCCAGCATGATGACTGTAAGAGCATTATGGGAGATATAGTCCACAATAATGTATACACAGTTCAGGTCAGCAGTTTACATGCAAAGTCCATCAGCACTGACTACATAACATGGTGGCTGTAGTCACACTATATGCTCCAGTTTAGTAACTATGTAAAGTCCACCATGCTGCCTACTGACAGCATCCCAGGCTATGACAGGCCTGTTATCACACTCTGACAGGGGCCATTCACGTGTCACACACAAGGCTTTCACAACGTTAGCGTGTGAGTGACGTGCGCCCCAGCCAATGGCAGCGCAGTAAGCAGCTCTCGCTCCCAGTGACTCACGCGCCCTAGCACTTCAGCATAGGGCTGCACAGATGCCGGCCAATTGGACATCCCCGAGTCCCGGGATCCAATCGCGAGTGAGCGGACTGTGATTGACAAGGCTGGGCGCCAATGGGCTGGCGGGATTGCCAGGCGGCCCAGTTGTCAGGGAAGTAGCTGTCGTGCGGTCGGCTAGGGAGGCTGAAGGTGCTGGAGGGCGGTGGTAGTTGTGGTGGCAGCTTCGTGTCTTTCATGTTTGATGGGAGACGGAGGGGACTGTCAGGTGTGAGGAGCGGACACACCACAGCGAGGTGAGAATTGGACTGGGCAGCAGGTTTCAGCTCTCTCACACACAAACCCTCTGTATTCTGTACAATGGGAATAAAAGGATATATATATATATATATATATATATATATATATATATATATATATATAATATAGAAACACACACGCTGTATGTGTGTGTGTGTATATATATATATATATATATATATATATATATATATATATATGTAATTTTATACATTTTAATATATAGCAAATAATAAATATGCAATCAGTTCTAATAGAAATTTAAAGCAATGAAGTGATTATGTCATATCTCCTTTTCATGATTGTCCTCCAATCAGGTGATTTTTAAATCAATCATTTATTTTTATTGGGTGCCTCAGCCCAGTATAAAATTCTATTCTCAGAATCGTACTATTCACAAATAGAATGTTGGCAACAACGAACCCACCTGCAGCTGAGACCTGCTATGATATTACTATTCTTCTTGTTATAGGACCTGTGGAGATCACCCCTTTCCCTTCCTTTAGATTTGCTGAAATCTCAAATTAATTCCCATCAGCACGTGACTTATTCTTTCCCTGTCTTCGGTAATGCTGAAATAATAAAATTATTTCATAAATTTCAGGTCCTCTATGCCTTATCTCATTATGTTTTGTGTCTCTAATCTTACCTTTGATAGTTGGCAGGGCAACTGCTCATAGGTAATGCAGAAAAGAAAATACCCTAAGGGTAAAATGTAGTTATTGGTAATTTGGGTGTCTGTGCTATGTATTCCGATATTGTTTTTGTTTTTTAATTGCAGGGAAACCTGTTTGAATGTCTTAGAGAGGAACTATAAATATGTTTTGTCTCAAGAGGAAATGTAAAGTACAAGATGAGAATACTTGTGGATCCAGCACAACTTTATCCATTACTTGTTTTTAGTTTTTTTTTCTTCCTGTTTTATATTTAGTGTTTTAAATGGCATAATAACATTAGAATAGACAGGGGGAAAAAATGGCACAGGTCAGTGTACTTTGTGCAAGTTGTTTTTCTCATTATTCCTGGGTTACAAGTACATTTGGGATGCACACAATTTGTGACTTTTTCCAGTTAAAAAAAAAAAAACAACTAGTAGTTTTAATGTGGGTGAGGATCATAGGCACCGCTGAAAGTTATAAGAAATGTATTTTTTTTTTCTTACTGACAAATTCACCATAAAAGATGTCACATATAAGTGTGATGAAATTTAAGTATCTCATAGATATAAGAAAGTGGAATTGTAGCAGGCCCAAAGCTCTACATGCTATCTTAATTGCAAGATGATAGTTTTGTGGTGATAAGTATCTTTAGAATCTGGTATTTGTAATATATGACTCACAGGGATGTATGTAACTGTACGCTGTTCATCTGTGTTTGTATGGTGCTGGTGAATATGTATGATTGCATATTCAACTGAAACAACATTTTAATTTTCAGGACTGCACCAACTAACATTTTTAATAAATGGTGGGGACTGCTTTGATTAAGATAAAGAATCAAAATATGGATTTCAATCTATTTTCTTTGATCTTTTATACAGTTGTAAACAAAAAAACATTTCCTTTTAGCACTGACACTGTTGTTCAGTATTTTTTCTTCTGTGTCATCAGTGATGGCTATCATTTGACAGTGGATCTGCCTTTTCTTCAATTTCCATGATGCCTTAAGGGAAACGACAATGTTACAAATGTAAACAGGTTTTTTTTTGTTGTTTTTTTTAATGTCTTTTTTAAAGGAATATTGAAGCACTAGGAATACAAACCTGCATCTTTTTACGCTGCTTATCTCTCTGCCACTGGCGATGTCTTGGAAGAAGCATGGCTTCTTTCACCAATGTCAAATCCAGTGCTGCTCCTACATGAGCATTAGGGACCTTAACCCCTTAAGGACACATGACATGTGTGACATGTCATAATTCCCTTTTATTCCAGAAGTTTGGTCCTTTAAGGGGTTAAAGGGATCCTACAGTTCTAGGAATACAAATTTGTATTCCTAACATTATAGTGCCCTCTTGCAGCACATAGTTTTTTTTTAAAAACTTTTATTAACTCAGCATATTCCAGTGCCGATGTGCCTTGCTGCTCCGCCTCTTCCGACGTCATCCCACAGGGTGACTTAATGCATTGCAGGGTGACTTAATGCATTAGGCTCTCCCCATTGGAAAGCATAGCTTCAATGTTTTCCTATGGGGCTTAACTGATGCTGGATGCCCTTATGCAGAGAGTGAGGACGTCCAGTGTCCTTTTGGGGAACTGAAGTCATGTAAAATCCTAGAAGTGCCTTTAATGGCTCTCTGATAGACAGCCATGAGAGACAGTCTTAGTCCTGCAATGTAATTGCAGTTTTCTCTGTTTTACATTGCAGGACAATGTGGTACAGGGACAGTGCACCCAGACCACTGCAATGAGAGGGTGCCTATATTGTTCCTTAAAGCATGTGTGTGGCAAACCTCCTCCTAGCAAAACATTGAATAGCTTATTTCCTATGGAGACTTTTGTGTCAAGGGACAAAGTTTAACTAGATCGGTGGCATATAAGCACCTCTAGTGGCTCTCAATATGAGGAAGATTTAACCCTGCAATGCAACAATTGCATTTATTAAAAACTGCAATGTTTTAAATTGAAGGGTTACAAAGCCAGGACTTCTTCAATGAAATAAAGAAATTGAATTCACCTTTCATCAATTGCATTTCCATTCTTGCCATGGTCACTACTGTGACCCCCGGATTGGCTTATAATTCCTGATGGTCTCATCTAATCCATACAGAAGCATTGGGGGCCTATTGTGCGTGTGTGGAAATCGCTGTTCTTTAACAGTCAGTATCTCCTCATATAGATGAATTATACCAATGCGTCTCTATGGGGAGCGTTCTTCATGCTGAATGTGAGAATAATTGCAACAAATATTGCTGGACGTTGGTAGGAAGCACCTCTAGGGGTATTCTTAGGGACAAATGTGATCACTGCCTTTTTCACGGAAGAGACAGTTTTTGCAAGGGTGAGACTGCAGGTCCGGGCATAACACAATAAGCTGTAGTTGTTCTCTTGCTTAGTGTCTATTTAACCAGGTAAATAGTTTTTATCAGAATCATGGGAATCATAATCCAAAATATCAGTGTTGCCAATGAATCTATCCCTGCCGGAGTACTCTCTGCCAATCGTTGCCATCCAGGTTGGATGGAATTGACATTGATGATATGGAATTGCAAATTATGCATTACCAATGTAGTTTGAAAGAGGGCTGGCTTTAGGCATTGGGGCGAGATCCATTTAAAAAAAAATATTTTTTTATTAAAGGGTTACTCCACCCATCACAACCACCACAGCTCACTGTAGTGGTTATAGTGTGAGGATTACTCTGGCCTGATCTCCTGTAGTCGGGTGACCTGTTTTTCAATGATTTGCCCTCTTACCTGGGTCCCCCTGGGTGCCTGGTCTACTCTCAAGCAGGTTTACAACATTCAACTTGTCCAAAGGTGTGGGTATCTCTCAGAACAGCAATGCCACTGTGGACCCTTGCCTGTATTTTGATGTTTACTGTACCCAGCAGTGCTATTGATTCCTGCATTATTCTCAGGAGCTGCATTAAAACTACAGAGAGTGATTATTTGTTCCGCCAATTATTAGAGCTGGTATTCAGCATTTACCGTTAATCTGTTATAATTTACTGATATTAAGAATAACTTACTCTTCTCTGCATTGGGAAACTATAGCAGCCAGTGAATTGCCACGTCTTGATCTCACATCACCCCTTTCTGTGAGTCCCCGCATGCTCCGCTTAACTCAAGGCAGGGAGGTGAGACTGATCAATTTACTGTGATGTACTGGACTGGCTGACTGTGATAGGCGTGTGATTGCAGTTAGCATGCTCAGTTAATGCCTGATTTCTCAAAAAAAAGTAGTTTTTCAAAACTTTTAATGTATAGAATATTGTCAATTGCCCTGATCAGCAACAATTATCTGCTATGGAACAAATTATATCAGTTGTTCCTTAATTAAAAACTCTATAAAATTACTGCAGCTTGAAAATGTTTTTTAATGTGGAGAGCAAAAACTAATTATAATATGACGGTGCATAGTAAATAAATATTTAACTGTACAGTAGGGGATTTATACCCCTTGGTCATATCCCAAACTAATGGGCATGGCAGGCTAATCATATTAGTCCTTTTTTTTTACATGCATTCACATTTTTAATTGAATGAAGTAATGTCTATTTATTTTGGATTACAAAGGACAGGTTCATGTTTACTGATCTCTTCTTTAAAGGAACCTATCACCCAAGCCCATTTTGACGTTTCTTTATGCAGTAAATCCTTATTTTATAACCATTATATATTTTATTGCTTTTGAAAATGTTAAACTCTTACCCCAACACCAACAGTGGTGCTGCGATCATGCAGGGTCATGGGTATATCAGGAATGTAACCCACCCGCTGCCCCTGTTACTGCATTCCTCCTTTACACAAGATTGGTTCTGGAGAGGAATTAACTTTTAATTTAAACTGAAGCTGTGATAGCTGTGACTTATTTGTTTTGATTTTAGAAGTTATAATTTTTACCATAGAGATAACAATTTAGAGTTTCCAAGTCACTCCTGGTTTTAAAAACCAAAGGAAAGCTGTCAACTTCCATGATTTTTAAAGGAGCTCTGTCCTGCCTCTCCCCCCTACCATGCTACCATGACAAGTTTGATCACTTCCCGCAGCCGTTACTAGCGATGGCTGTGGGATTAAGGCATTCATGTTGTTGCGAGACATTGTTAATGTGGGGTCTTTCGGGATCCTTTACAGACTTTGGTGTTGTACTTACTGCGCATGTGTGAGAGTATAGCACGGATGTGGGCTACAGGAGGATGATGCAACAGACGCTGAAGATCAAAAAAGGCGGTGCCTGTGGGGACAGCATCAGCTAAATTTACTTTTGCCTCTACTGCACCCTCTATTGCCCATTATTTTAATGTTATTTTACTTACCCTCTACATTTAGCAAATATGGTTCTGTGAGATCTAGACAGTAGTTCAATGTAAAAATCCACAATGTTGAAATTTCACA